GACCTGCTGTCTCAGTAGATAAAAACAGCTAATTCTAAAGTAACAAAAATACAATTCATCCTTTTTTCAGGTGATTATACACTAATGAAAACATGCCTATGAATATTATGTTCCATTTCTGTCAATAGATCCTCCTAAATGTTACACACTGGACCTTTAAGTGCAATTTTGGGGTACTTTACTTGAGTGTTTCCATTTTATGTTACATTATACAACTTCATTCTCTACAGAAATTCAGTCCATCTCCTGAGCATTGTAATAATGTAGAGAGTCATGCTTATTATCCAGCTGATGTTGTGATGTTAACTCCATATTCACTATTTTCTGGTTGAGAGCTATAGCTGAGAAAGTTATGATAGCTGGAGCAGTGGTAGCATAAAGGTAAAAGAAGTGAGCATCGGACCGGAATTCAATCCGAACCAAACTGACAGGATAAAAAAAGGGAGCATTGAACATCTCAACAACAATCTCAATAAAGGTTTGAAGAACTCTTCCATAGTCAGTAATCTTTGGGTGAGAGCTAATGTAGCATGGAGAGTCCTGGTGCAGTTTGGGTAACAAAAGACGTAGAAGGTTCAGATCGTCTCTGAATATAGGAGCATGTATTTGTTTAGCAGCACTCATTGATCCTGAGTCCCAGTGTAATAATGCAAGATAAAAAAGATTAAGCAGTACTTCCTCATTACATGCTCCACCACACACAGATGTATAGACAGTGTTCTTGTCGGATGGAATTTTTTCAAATTCGACTGGTTGGTAATGGCTCCTTGTTCGAAACCATGTACAGCAATTAGGAGAGACAGAGTTATGTAAGACTAATCCAATTCTTTCTTAATCTTTCGCTCAATAATAGTAATGCATTTGGCTGTGCGGAGATGGTGCTATTCTTTACCACTTCCATGTGCGCTCCATTCATTTTCTCCCCTCATCTCCCCTTGTTTTACTGAATCTCATTGAGAAAAAAAAAAAAAGAGCGGGAGAAAGGAGGCAGACATCCTCCCTCATCTATCTCTCTTCCTTCACGATGCTTGCACGGCGCATGTCAGGGAGGAGAAAGGGAAGAATGTAATGTAGCTATTTATAGTAACTGTTGCTGTTAAAAAAAAGCATTTCTCTATCTCCTAGCCCTCTATCTGCGCACCCTTCCTCCCTTTAAAATATAGAGAGATATGCAACTGTCCTCCCTCTGTGTTCAGTGTTCCTCCACTTCCCCAAACCCTCTCATCATCTTGTCATCCAGCTATGCTTCTATTCCTTTAGTCTGCTCTGTACCATTGTTTAGATGCTTTTAGCAGAGAATGTATAATTCATTTCTCCTCCAGAGTTGTTGCACAGCAGTCATGAATTGAGTCAGGGCGAGGAAGACAGGGGAAAGAGTGAGCTGGGAGGCAAGGAGAGCAGAATAAAGAGGCAGTGAGAGGGAGCAATGCTTCGTGCTACGCATCTCAAGTTGGCTTTGTTTAAGACATGGCCCGCTCATGTATATTCTCTCTGTGATTTAAATGAGGCATCTCAAAACCTCTGTTTCTTATCAGGGATCAAAACAGAGCAGGTCTGCAGCTCTGCCATGTTTGTGATATCACTTTATAATATTGCACTGTGATCCATTTGTCCTCCATTAAACCTGTTAGTCAGTATTCTTCTGCTCTTTGAATCTGGAAAGCAAACTTTTATGGTGTGCTCTTTTCATCAATTCTGTATACTCTTTGCACCTCACAAAGAAAAGTATATTTTTGTACATTGGTGAAAAAAATCATTCAGATCATTTACTCAAGTAAAAACACCAACACTGTGGATCAAAGGTCCTGCCTTCAACACCTCACTTAAAACTTCAAGTAGAGGTACAGATGTATTATCAACAAAATGTACTTAATGTGTCAAAGTAGAAGTACTAATTCTGCAGAAAAATTGTCCCTGAGGATGATATTAGTATATATTACATTATTAGATTGTTCATTATGATGCATCAGGGCCTTAGTATCCTGTTACTGTTGCAGCAGGTCGAGGTGGAGCTAGTTTTACAGTAACTAACTGTACTGATGAGATAAGAAGGCAAATCTTTCTTTGGTGGAGCTGCTAACAAAAATGTGACCCAACTAGATGCTTTTTGTAAGTGGTCAGAAGCTAAAAAGTTTGGAAACTACTGGTTTAATCACTAACAATGTATTGTGAATTGTATTTAAGTGTTTCATATGTATTGATCTGAAAAACAAGTAACCATTTCCTTTTTAAATAAAAATAGTGGAGTAAAAAGTACAATATTTCTATTAGAAGTATGAAGTAACACAAACTAGAAAAGTACATTACTTGAGTAAATGCACTTTCCACCAATGTTCACTCTCTATTTTTTTGACATTCTGATGGCATGTGACTTGCAAAAATTTCAGAAGCATACATTCCTACGTCTCCAATTTCAGTCATCCAAAAGAAACCTGTGTAGGGTTCAGTGCTCTCTGACAGTATGTATAACAAATACTCATGCATCACCAGAATAATCAATGAAAATGTAGCGAAGTGATTTTTAAAATTGGGCCTGAAACATTTTCAACACCACTCTGAGAGGAGGGTGTGATTTAAGGTCACTGGGGGGGGACGTCTCTCGGAGAGGTTTGTGTCGAATAAATGTGGTTTGCAGTATATTTGTTCACTGAATCACACAGCATGTCAGGTGATGAGGAGGACAGGACCACCTACAGAAAGCTTTCACACTCCTGTTCATGTGATGTGGAATGACAGCACAGATGTTGTTGCTGTTGTTATTGTCTTGTTCCCATCATCCTGGACTGTGTCAGAGTTGTAATTGCTCAGTGACAGTGGCCTGACATAAGTCCCTAATTGGCTGTTTTCCTGGGCTTGCTGAGCCTGCCAGCAAACAGACAGAAATTTGGGTTTGGCTGATATGTGGCTGTCACATTTTTAAACCCAGCCAACACCAAATGGTCCATCAGGGATGTCAAACATTGGTTTATTGTAGCATTTATTATGTATAATCGCATTTGCTTCTATCATGTTAAGCATCACTGTTAGTGTGTCTGAATCTGTGTATTTGTAGATGAGCTTTTCTTGCAGATATCTAATCTGTTTTCAAGTTAATTCCCGCGCTCTTTAGACCATTCAGGAAAAGCAAAATGTCTTTGCCTTTGAAAAACGTTGCTCTGACCTTTAATCTGCAGCTGCAGCACAAGCCGAGGCAGACTTCAGGTGTGATGAAAAGGGTCTTTGGCTCCCATTCCATATAAATGAGCCGCCGGTGTTTTAAGAACAAATGGGCAGATTGCATGATTGCATGATGACAAATGGCCTATTTCAGTGACACCTCACATCTCACTGCTGGCTGTCGCTTCTGTGCCTGCTTCACTGGCTGATGAGACTAAAATAATACCTGAGCCTGACACTTCCTATGACAAACAAAACTAAAAATAATCACTTCATGGAGGAAATAGCAAAGTGGTACGATACAAGTTTATAAGAAGGAATTCAAGCCTTCTGCTGATATGTGAATTTTGTCCTTAATCTCCTGAAAGCTCCAGTCTATACATATTATACAGCCTCCACTGAAACATAATCACCCTTACTTGGATGTGGTTTGAGTCAGTGGATTTAAAGCCTGTCTTTATTTTCAAGTCGCCTGCTTTAAATTTGAACTTGCCAGTTTGTCATAACAAGTAAGAGTCTTACATGGATTTATAGCTGTACAAATGTTGATGTCTCATTAAGGCCCACTCACTTTCACTGAATTGATGCTTCTGTCTGGCTGAAGATAAAACCTGCTGTTGCTCAGTTATCCATCTTCGGTTACGATGGGACAAGGTCGAGAGTTCCATTATACAAGTTAAATATCTGTTAAATCTATCCAAACATACTGTATTTAATGTGTATGTGTGTACTCTGGATTTGATGCAGGTCTGGTGTCCCCGCATGCTGATTCTGGGTTTTGAATAAATATGTGTTGAAAGAAAGTGAGTAAATACTCCTAGATGATAGTATGCATAATAAATCCACATCAGTGAGATGTTGGTGGACACCATTTCTGTTGCGCATCGAAATGTGAGACAATGGCCGAACAGTAGATAAGTGTGAGACAGCTTCATAAATATAACTGATTATGGAAAAGACACATTTGCCACAGGTCACAATGATAATGGTAAATTGTAGAATGTAGCTAATACAAGTAACAATAGCAGAAGTAAAGAAAGAAAAGTAATAAAGCCAAACTTACTCAGTAATATTCTCTTGAAAGTTTGCTAACAATAGCCACCAACAGCTACTGGTCAAACCAGACCAGGTAAGGCTAAAGCAGCAAAAGTGTATTGAATTGTGTTTGTTTTTTTAGTATTTCTTATGAATTCTGCTTTTCATTTGTAACGTAAGGAAGAATGTCAAACTTACATACTGTATTCTTGCTTCGAGTTTCCAAATGATAAATTGGTAGCAGCCTTCCAAAGTCCCAGTTTAAATGAGTATATCTCTCAGCACACAGCTTGCATCTTTATTATTATTTGTTGGTGGCATTTGATTGGTTAGATAAATTGATTACTTACCTGCAAAAACACTGTGTGTACTGTATTACAGACTGTATTGAGACCTGGCTTCAAAGGCCACTCACAGACCATGTTTTATTATCTGCCGCCATCTAGTGGACTTTTTGCAGTAAAGCATTCAGTGTGGGAGGACTTGGGGTGATTCAACATGCTCACTGATGGAAATATCATCAGTAGACCTAGTAACATGAAATTGTAAAACAGTTGGAAATCACCTTGAATAAATAGATCCAGTTAAAATGTATTTGGGATACTATTACGCAGATTGTACAGTGCTATTTTGGAAGCAAAAAGTACTGAAAAGCATTAACATGTAAGTCTTTCTATAGTAAAGTACAACTTCAATACATTTCTGCTACTAAAGGCTAATTTAGTTGTACTATATATAGTCGTAAATATACTCAACTCAGTTTTCTGCCCTTATCCATGGCTGATCCGTTCATTTATTTTTCCACACAGCTGTTCACTGCAACCTGAGCCAGAATGGCATCGATCACCAGATGTGCCCGGAGGACATGACGTCACAGCTGGAGGAAGAGGAGGAGTCGGTGGACGCTGGGGCTGTGCTGCTGGACGACGACAGCCCGAGCTACCAGGATGTCAGCCCCCCAATGTACCAGCGCCGTATGCCGCCACACCGCTCAGTCTCTGAGTCTGAGCTGACACGGGTAAGAGGTGGTCCAGAAGCAACATTCGCAGAAAAAGTGTTGGCATCAGTTTAATCCAGACAGCATGGGAATCAGCTTTATGCCAGTGCAGTGCTAACTCACCACAAATAATTAATTTGACTTACTGTGTAGACTTCTTTTCAACTTATTTTATTACAGCACCTTTTAAGTTATTCTGATTTCTGTTTGTAGAAAAAAAATATAATAGCACAGCCCATTCATCCCAGTGTCCTTCTCCTGCAGTGTCTTTTGTGATGCTACCACTTGGGGGCATCAAAGACAGAACATTTCAAATTTTACACCCCGAGGACTTAAACAGACACTGCCAAAATCTCTCAGAAACACACACACACACACACACACACACACACACACACACACACACACACACACACACACACACACACACACACCACAATTGTATTGAATTGAATTGAATTGGATATAAAATAAGATGGCATGAAGAAATCAGGGTAATGTTTGCTACTCTGATTGGCATCCTAGAAGTCCAGTGGTGGAAAGTAATCAAGTACATTTACTCAAGTACTGTACATAGGTGCCACTACATTTATTTGACAGTTTACTAGTTACTTTGCATATTTATTATTATTATTATTATTATTATTATTATTATTTATTATTATTAGTATTATTATTATTATATTATTACATATTCAGATTATTAATACAAAATAGATCAAGAAATAAATTCAGCACAAAAAAGTAGTTAGAATTAGTCCCACCTTTATCAGCTGCACTATTGAAGTGATGCTTACACATTAATGCATCAGGAAATATAATCCAATTGTATGATACAGATTATTATTCTTAAGTCATTCTACATAATGATTGCTTTTACTTATGATACATATATCACAAGACTTTTGTACTTCTACTCAAGTCAAATTTTCATTAAAAAAATTCTGAACTTTTACTTGTAGTGTTTCTACATTGTTGTATTGCTTTTACATAAGTAGATCTCAGTACTTCTTCCACCTAGACAAGTGGGCTTGTAACAGAAATAGTGTCTTGTTGACGATGCATTGCCACAGCACTGATCATTTAGCCTACCACAAACTTCCCAGTTTGTCTTCACTTCAAATAACAGAGTTCTTTAGTCTGATTTAGAGCGATATAATGTTTGCTATGTGTCTGAGAAAACCTCCTCTAGGCTTAAATCATTCAGCACCTGCAATAATACACCCAATTTGAAAATGGGATGCAATTTTTACATTTTTTAGCTTACCATCAATTACAGATAGATACACTAGAAACATGACATGATTTTCTAAATTTGAATTAATGACATAGGGTGTGAGATAGATATGTATGATTTTAAAGCATTAATTTAGTTATTTATTTTGACTGCTTTAGGGCAGCAGAACAAGCTGTGAACAAAACTTGTACATACAGGTATTATCGAGATGAGGGTGAAGATGGAAGTTTTCATTAGCATTCATTTGGAGTCATATTTCTGGCCATTTGACAATTATAAGTCCTATATTCATTCTCTTTTAGCTCTGTGTTGGTCTCTACCAACTCTTGAGGAAAATATATCACTCTTCAGCTGCTAAAATGTCTCCACGGTGTTCACCAGCTTACTTTGTCTGGTTGTCGTTTGCAGCCTACTAGTTAGGTAGCATACAATGGTTTAATCGGCTTTAGAGTGGTGATATTGAATATTTACTGAAACAGTTAATGTTTTGGCTTTAAAAACAAAATCCCATCAGGTCAAATGATATAGTGTGAATTTGTGAAATACTTCCGTTTCTGACCAAATTCTTGCAAAACTATCTCCTATCATCCTCTGTTGTACTTTATGTTTAGTGTTACTAGCCAATGTTAGCATGCTAACATGCTAAATGATGATGGTTAACATGGCAATGCTTCTATCAGCTTGCATTGAGACAAGAAATTCATACTGAGGGCCTGTGGTGGTTTCATTGCACATTTACTTAGCACTAAATTGATTGTATTTGTATTCAAATTATAGTTTGTGTACAAAAACGTCCTCGTACTGTAATTTGACTGCATGCCACACACTAAACAAATCAACCACCCACTTAAATAAAATAATCCACTACGTTCCACACATCCACCTCTTCAGTACAAACAAAGTATTTACCAGCGATTTAAACAAGGAAATAAAAGCTGTTGTTGCAGGCTGTGTTTCAACTCTTCCTCAGTGTTTCTGATAATAGATCAAAGGATCCATCATCAGCAATGCAGAATAAATTCCTTACTTCCTCTCCAGAAATAGACCGTGGTTGGGACAGTGGGAGGAGACAGGAGTGATCACTCCCGATGCACACACACTCTCATATTCTCTTTTCTCTGAGAAGAATCTGTGGTAATCAGCTGTCAATCAAAGCAAGTGGAAGCACTTTTGAGTCAGACATAGTCCTCTGTGTAAGCCCTGGATGAGCTTTTGAAATACCAGACAGACAGCCAGTCCTGGGTTCAATTAGTGCGAACACACACACACACACACACACACACACACACACACACACAGAGAGAGAGAGAGAGAGAGGAGACAGGGAGACTGTGGAGATGCTCTGTCCTTTCTGTTTTGTGCTGTAACTGTAAGTTAATATGTGGTAATTCTGCGGTGATGGAAAAAAAAAAACAGTATCAGTAACATACTATCTATGCTGTGTGTTTTTTGTGGGCATCATCGTGTAATTTTATATCACCATGAAGCAGCAGCTAAATCTGAATTGCATTAGAGACCTGGAGGATGTTTGGCATTAACTGAAATAATTTAACTGACTAAGCTTTCAGACTCAGTGTCTAGATTGCAGTTAAGAATGAGTTATCTCTTTGGGGGAAATTCAATAGGTCAAGTGCATAAAGACTGTAATTACATAGAATGGCAATCTATTCTATGATGCAATACAGCCACGGGCCAGACAGTATTTATTTATACTTTGGGTTTGAGCTTTATTAAGAGCTAGATGGGATGTTTTGCAGTATTGGAACTATTAACTGTACTGTTAACAGTTAAGGACAACAGCAGTTAAAGAAAAAGGAAAATGTCAAATAATACATCAGCTGCTATAATATTGCTTTACAATTACATTAGATAGGATAAATGTATGTATACTGATGTGCCACCGAGTCCAAGAGGAACTTTTGTCATTTTTGTGTCTGTGAACTTTGTTTTTACATATGTGATTTTGACCATATATGAGGTAAAAAGTGAAATAGTATATTTTACTGACTACATCCCTGAGGGTTATAAGATATAACATTTTATATAGTTATATTGCACATTGTACACATATCAAATCATATTTCAGAGGTTGGTTTGTGACTGATGAGAGAAACTAATTTCTATAAAGTAACATTTGGACAGTTGTTATAGGGGCTGAGTATTGATAGTACAATATTACAGTACCCGAGTTTGATACCTTTAGACATGTTTTTCTACAAAACAGTACGAATAAACCACAGCCAAACTGCCAAAATATTGTTTTGAATCAGGAACTGAAGAGGTCAAAACCTTAGCAATTGTTATATTAAAAAGAAATCTTGCTGTAGGGTGACCCTGATGTAGGCAACAGGCCAAAACACATTGGTCTCACAATAAGATTATTGAGAGATTGTGTGGATATACTACTGCAGTTTTGACATTTTCAGACTCTTTCCCTTCTCCATGCACCTTGGAAGTAGGTGAAGATGTACCAGAAATACCTACTTTGATGCCAGCTTTCAGTACTTGAAAGTTTTCAATACTCAGTGCTATGCACACATTTTGGTCAGGACCAAAGCAGCATTCAGGTTTGATACCCAGCCCTATATATAATTCAAAATGTTTCCTCGGGTGGTGGAAAACTCAAAATCTTGTCAGGATTGTTGACTGAGATAAAGATACTAGGACACCATGTCAAAAATATGCAGAGGATCGTGTTGTTATAGGAAAATCAAAGGCGTTAAAGTTAAATCATCTGCTTTTCATGTAGAGCAGAAGTGCATAAAGAGGATAAATGTGAGGACGTAATAAATCCAGCCCTCGATACAGTGCATACCTGTAGAAAAGTAATTTCAGTTCATCACATCAGCGGTGTTCATCTTTAAATATTAGGCTGAAGCTGAATCCAGCTCCCTAGCTGGATTTGTAATTGAGCCCAGGCTTAGCCATAGATTAAACATGAGGCATAAAACAGCCATTCAGACTCAGTGGATGGCTGTAACATCCATAGCAAATCAGCTCATCTCAGCCGTGATCAATATCAAGCCCAAGGTGAATATATCTTGTTTAGTGTTAACACACCCTGCAGTGCTTTATGGACCCTGCCGAATCCCAAGGTCAGGCACTGTGAAGGGGCCTTGTGTACTTTCTTTGATGTGCCAGAGTAAAGTTGGCATTGCCTGTTAACAGAGGCCCCTTATGAAGGCTTATTAATTTATCCAGCATAGTGTGTTATTCTCTGTCAGCTCACACACATGCACACACACACACACACACACACACACACACACACACACACACATACACACACACACACACACACACATACATAGACATATCAGTTTCATCCCCATTCCTGTATGTAACAGATTAATTAATACAGGGAATTTTCATCTCCTGCCAGCCCTGGCCGGGAGAAATAGAGCAAGGCAGAGAGAAAGGAGAGTGAGAGAGAGCATGCCAGAGCTGTTAATTAGCTGTGCAGTAGAGATAGGGCCGACGACACAGGGCTCCGTGTCTCAAACAGCCATTCACTCAGTCAACATGACACTAATGGCAGCGACCCTCCTCCTCTCAGCACTTTTCTGTCCAGTCACACTGAAGGAAAAAAAAAAAAAAAGTTGCTGCAGTGTTTAGTTATGACACTAGAGGGTAGTATGTAACAATGTATCTTACTGGTATAATGCAAATTCAACATATAGGGATATATCTTAGTCTAATGCAACCTTGCAGTTTCTCTGGTATTCTTAAAAATGTATTGCATACATGGAAAAAAAAAAAGTAAGCAGGATTGAATTTCTGTGCAATGCTTTAATGTATACTGACAAGTCAGAATTTAAAAAGCATACACAGTGCAAGATATGTATAGTATGGTACCATATTTAGAATTTATAAGCAGTATATAAACATTTAATAAATGGCCTATTCACACTGTTGTGTAAAACTGAAGCACATATAAGTGTTTCTTGCTGTAGTTGTCAACAATGTTACGTTTTAACTTCTCCTGTGAAGGATCCATAACCAGATTCTGATACATAAAGAGATGAATGAATTAGAATAGAACAGTCTCCATAAGAGGAGTTATAATTGTTGAAAATACTACATGAATAAACATTAGTCCTTTTTTGCATTTAACCTATATGAACAATTTACTACTACTGCTTATAATGCTATAACTGTTCATACTGCTTGTAAATCCCATCTGGGAAATTATGTATAGAACTGCTCAAAAGAGAAAATTGTGTTGATTTGTCCCTAATATTTCCCTGTAAAATAAATAGATAACATACAGAAAAACTACGTAGAATGACCAAAACAATTTTTTTTTAATTTAAATACTCCCTACTTACCTATACTACCTCATCGTGCTCCCTGCTCTTGTCTTGGAAAAGAAAATCTGAAAAGCAATGCTCAAAATATCAGCTTCAGTATCTACTGCCTCATAAAAGATACATTACACCTCTAGTCTCTTTGAAATGGAGCTATCTTTATGTCATATATGTAGGAGCTGAGCTTGTCCCCGTTTTTCCGATATACTTTGCTACCTGACGTCTCATATCGCGGTGTTTTTCAAAACCTGATTGAAAAATGAATTGGGATTGCATTGTTTTGAACACAGCCGTGTTTCATGCAACAAACAATATTGCTCCTAATGAAGGCTGCTAGACAGCTGTAATGGTTCTGAACAAAAGTAACAGCTCTTGTGCTGTCAAAGAGCTATTGAATATTTGTTTTGCCCTTGTACACATTTTGCTCAATAAATGAACTCTGCCCACATCTTTTGTCTTGGGAAATATCCAGGGTTGAGGTTCAATTTGAGTTATTTCTGTGAAGTAAACAAAACTCTGGAAAACTATGAAATCTATTTGACATTATAAGGTCTTTGTGGTCAAAGACCTTATAATTTAAAGCTAAATACAGGAAATGATTGACAAAACAATGTCACTATATGTGTTAATTGCTGCTGTAGTCAACATTTTTAATTGAGTGTAAAGCCATTTGACCCTGCAATCAGCTTAACAATCTTGGAGCCAAAATGAAAATCACGACACAAGGGAAACAACTACTGCTGTGCACAAAGCAACTGCCAAATTCACTCACTCAGTCATCTCTGGAATGCTTTTCAGCGCTTTTAATTCCCAGCTCTTTTTGTATTCCCATATTGTCTCCACAAAAGGGGGCCATGTGATTGCCTCTTTATTAATTTAGCTGAATACATTCATATTGGATCTTTAAATGCTTATCAGTGTTAGTGCGATTACATGCTTCATTATGTAAGTAATAGTTTTCCACTGTGGTCGTTAATGTGTGGATGTTTATTCCACACTCTGGTTCATGTTCGGGTTGCGCGTTTTCCCCCAAAGGCTTTATTCCCTCGTCTTTTAATTTTTGAGGTTGTCCTTGCTCTGTTGCTAAGGTAACGTGAAGAATACTGGGAGCTGCACTGGGCTTTCAGTTATCAATTAAAGCCAAGGACAGCTACACACTGAATGCATGTTGGCACACATGACAATTGGATGGTTCATGTGGATATATTTTTTTTTTTTTTTCAGTGTGGGTGTTGCCTGTGTGTGTGTGTGTGTGTGTGTGTGTGTGTGTGTGTGTGTGTGTGTGTGTGTGTGTGTGTGTGTGTGTGTGTGTGTGTGTGTGTGTGTGTGTGTGTGTGTGTGTGTGTGTGTGTGTGTGTGTGTGCGGCGCCTGTTCCCAGACGTATTGCAGTTAGAAATAAAGCAGGCTTCTCCTCTCACCCCTGTGCTGTCACTCAAATCTCTAATTGGCCCGGAGTCTCTTGAACACAGCTCTTTGAGCATGATTGTACTCCTGTTTTCTTCTCTCTGCTGTTTTCTCTCCGCCCTTTGGCTGTGTTGGCTGGCTGGCAGGCAGGAAGGCACCGGCTCACCTATTGTACTGGCCCCGGGAACACAGCTATGGGCTAAATCAGTGCAGAATGTAAAACACAGATGGCCATTGACTCACAAATGGGTTCATGGAAAATGAGAGTGTCTCCTGTGTCAAATTCTGCAGAGTCCACTAGCTTTTTTTCTACTCTCTGCCTCATCTGTCAGTCCAGCCACCCTCCACACCTCCTCCCTTCTCTCCTGCTAGTTCTACTCTCCCAAACTCAAATGCTTTCAACACACACACTTCTCTCCCTCTTCCTTGCACTCTGTCCCTCACTCTTTCTCCATCCAGGCCTCCCTCTCTCTTTTGTCGCCTCAGGCTCCTAGTCAGGGTTAATTAGCATTGAGTTGAGCTGTGTTTAATGGTTAATGTGGTTTTTCTTCCTGCGATGCCGTTCCCACCCCTCCCTGCAGATTCAGCATCTATCCACACAGCCTGCCAAGCAATCGCATTAAGAGCGGTGGCCTCTCCTACCTGCCTACCTGCTGTCACTTCGCCTACCTTCAGGAGATATAGACCACATGCCAAAACCAGCATGTACATCTCCCCCAATTTCTCTGTCTCCCTGGGATGCTAGATATAGAGTGAGTGGGAAGGAGCTGTGGAGAGAGGAGGAGAGAGTGAGGTAGTACCATATAATAAGAAACAGGTGAGAGGGAGAGCGAGATGGGAAAGATGAGAGCTACAGAATGTGGGGAGAGGAAGTGAGAAAGACAATGTGATAGATCTGACAGGGACCGAGCGAGATTGAATACGGGGGAGAGATGAGAGATGGGGTGGGGGGGACGGAGGTGGCGGGGAGCGAGAAGGCAAAGAAGAGGAAATGCTGCCAGTACCTGTTATTCTGCTTTTCTCCGGGTGGAGAAGCGAAGGGCTTCCATTGCTATGCCACACCACACGGCAGCCGGAGAGGAGGCTGAAGTGGAAGGGAGTGGATGTGAAATTTTAATCACCTCTCTCTGTTTGTAATTTTAGTAGCCCCTCAATCAAAATCAAAAGCATTGCCAGCACTTTCAAGAGCGATCCTTTGGCAGACTACTGTGCTGAAGTATTTAAACTAGAGTGGCATCTTGCAACCAGAGTACAGTGCAGTGCAGATATGTGTATGTATGTGCTATTACATGCAATCTAATATAGCCTGTATTAAATGTCATAAAGTTGGATTAAAGCTTCACTCTGTCCACAATGGCTACGACTACATTACTGAAGTTTTTGACCACTAGTGGTGCTGTTGAGCAACACTTTGATTAGCTTGCAAATTTGTTGTCTGTATCTAAAGCTCGACCAGCACATGCTGAAGAGGCCACACATACACACAAGTTCATAATACTCTCTGTCAGTCAACTTAAAAAAGGCAGTGATGCATAGTGACAGAAACTTGGTGGCATTTAATTTATTTTCTCTTTTTTGCGTGACTTGTAATCGACAAGTTCTAGCTTCTTGAAGGTGAAGACTTGCCCCTTTTCTTTGTTTTATATCATTTTAAACTCAATCTTGTTGTTTTCGGGACTGTTGATAGGACAGGATAAGACATTAGAAGTTGTCACCTCAGGCTCTGGAAAGTTGTGATGGTCATTTTTTCACCATTTTCTGGTTTCTGATTTTATACAGAAATGAAGAATCGATAAAATAACAACAGCAAAACAGAAAACCAGGAGTGATTCAACACAACATACAATATAAATATAATTGTACACTATCTGCCCAGCTTTAGACTGTGTATATTTCTTATTATTGATTATTCTTTTTATTTTAAAAGGTTAATACTTAATCAATCCTTGAGGGAAAATGTCACTCAGTTGCCAGTACATATCTAACCAAAGTGTGAAAGTGGTAGTCTATTAAAGAAGGCTATAATAATGCATGTACACATAAGGGATCAACTAGAACAACAACAGAGGCATAGTTCAGCAAGATTATAAAAAAAGACTTTGCCTCAGTGCATGTGCATAAGCAGTAACAGGTAACAGATTCTGAAATGTTTCTGAATTTTAAATGTTTGGTTTGTCTCAGCCAGGATATGTAAAGCTGTCCAAACCAGTTGCCCTGTGGACCCAACAGGATGTGTGCAAATGGCTGAAGAAACATTGTCCCAATCAGCACCAGATCTACAGCGACTCCTTCAAACAGCACGACATCACAGGTACTACTTCACACTTGCTCTAACCTGAACTGTGGTCATGGAAGATGGTCTCTCATTCATTCAATTTGCAGCGTAACTGTTGTGGGCTTTTTTTCCCCCCATGCAATTAAAAAACATTTGTGCTGTAGCTGTTGCAAGGTGATTAGTGGTTGAAGGGAAGGTCAAAATCACTCTATGTACCAAGTGCAATATTTATCTTGTATTTGTGACATTGCTACAGACACTGGGAAGCAGGGAATTGACAAAACAATGTTTTCACATCAAGTTAAGAGTGAAAACTTTGGAGTCACACAGCTCGTCTCTGTTCTGCATTTGTCATCTTGATGAAGCCAGATCCCATTCATAACATCCCAGGTGCGGCCTGCACCCGCTTGTATGCCACCTGCAGCCCTGCCACCCGGCCTACCCGTCTGTCCATCCCTTCCTTCCCACTGTCAGAGTTACCACTGACAACAGTTGCCACGTCAATCATTTCCCTAACGAGGCTCCGTCAAGGTCACCCCGGCGCTAACGATACTCCGGTCCGCATAGTAACAGACGACCGTTAATTGCCATGCACTCTTCCTCTCAGAGCACGACTGATCCCATTAATATGTTTATTTGTCGCTGTCGAGGTCCTCCTCGACTCAGTGACTGGCTGGCAGGATAAATCACTCTGCGGCCATGATGAGTGGCGTAATGACTCATGCTCCCGTTTTACCCTTTGATGCATTTTGACTGTTACTTGTTTGCATGGTGGGATTTAGCATCCTCTGTTTAATGGTCTGAAAATATGAATCTCACTGCTTTGCGGTTCAAGTTGCACACATATCTCATCAGCAACATTGAGGTCCAGGAGATAACCCACAGTCCATTGCATGCTTGTTGAACCGCTGCAACATTTTGGATACATCTTCAAGTAGAAGCATTTTGGAGAATGTCATTTTCTTTTCATTCAAGGTACAATAAAAACAGCTGCAATGACTAATCACTTGTGAAACACAAGTTGTTTTGTTTAGTTTATTAATTTGGATCTTGCATGCAACACAGTAATAATTCAGATTAAAAGACATAACACGAAAAGGACTTACAGACCCTCCCACTGAAAACACTCCTGTTATCACATCCGTGCAGTTTGTTATTACATAAAAGAGAAATCATGTCAAGTGCAGTCATCCAGTCATTCAGTTGGTATAAATTTCTCATGAGGTCCATATCTAATTAAGTGTTCCTGCGATGCTTGAAGAATTCAGTTATAACCTGTAAATAAATTATATTTTCTCTTTATTAGTCTTTCAGTGATTAAAACATTGGATCTTAGCTTCTTAATGGTGTATTAACTGAATGACCTGTGTTTGTTATTAAGCTGTAATGATTTTCACAGGATCAAACAAGAGAAGAAAGGGTTAACCAAATATGCATGCATGCTCATGCGCATACAATGCGCACACACGTTTTCCTACTGGCACAATTAGGAGGAATAATGACATGCGCAAAACCTGCAAGTAATTCAGTTTGTCTTCACATTGAGCATTAATTAACAGAACCCAATTAAAACAGGCCAAGCCACACCAATTGGGCTCACAAGGCAATTTGCATCCCAATCAATCTTTGAAATATTATGCAGATATATTTTTTCTGTCCTACGCCCTATTAGAATAAACAAGGGGGAAACAAATGATGAATGGAATATTGTTGTGGAAAACAATCATGCGTAGACAAACAAACAGTGAGTATGAATACATTTATAAGTGCATGCAGGCGTGCATCTGAGAATATCTATTTGTTCAGTGTGCTTGTCATAGACTAGCTCTGACCCTTGAAGACTGGCGGTGGTGTGTGTGTGTGTGTGTGTGTGTGTGTGTGTGTGTGTGTGTTTGTATCTGCATGAATAGGCCTGATTTTTGGTTTTCAGAACATTGGATTCTCCAGACCGTAGCGTTTCTTTACTGTATTTTCGGTCCAATCCATCCATAACAGAACACTCAACCCTCTTTTCGGCTGCCAGCGGTACTCAATCTCACTTGTCTTGGCAATGTAGTCATCCCTTCATAAAGTAGCAAATCAATAAACGGTCTCTATTCCAGATCATAATTCAAACAGGCATTTGTGTCCTCCCTCCTTTGACATAAAACAGCGGCGAGGGAAATGCATTTTACTGCGTACCAGGGGCTGGTGCAACATTTTTAACGTCGAATGACTTCAGTATGCAGCAGCTGCCTCCCTGCTAGGCTCCTGTAACCTCAGCCAAAGAAATCAATGTTGCCCGCCCTCCCTGCAGCCTATACTGCCAAGAAACCCTTTCCCTCCCTCAATCTTCACCTCCCACCCCCAACAGAGACAGCTTCGAATTTGACTTTAACACCCAGCTGCCATTAAAAATGCATTAAAGCATATTACGGCATAATTAGATATTAGTCCTTAATCCGTTGTAATTACAAGGACGAAGCTCTTTTGGTGGGAGAGTAGCTTGGCAAGATAAATTAGTTAAACATACAATTTCCGATACCTTAGATGTAATCAGCACACAAGGTGTGATGACATAGGTAATCAAAAGCAAGAGGGTGGAAGAGAGGGAAAAAAGTGTGAGTCACTATTAAGTTATATTTTCTGTCAGAGAAGACCATTACATCACACTGTGGGAATTCAGAGCCTCTCTAAAGGCATACAAAGACAGAATTAGATGCAGCTGTAGAGTCAGGCTGGAGGGGCAGGTTTAAAAACTTCTGAATGAGTAAAATGAGTAAAAATGTCTTAAAACTCACATTTCAAGCTTTGGTTCTTGGCAACAACAAGCTGTACATTATTAATAGTTACATTGCTCTTTCATTATTCAGTGTCATAAATGAATGCCAAATTATTAACTTTAATGTGAAATAATATCAATAAATAGTTGCTATTTGTAACTTGAAACAGCCCACAACCACAGACAGATTATGTCCCTGGACAAAGCCCGCCACCCCTCCTATATAGGAGCAAAACACCCAGATTGAGAGACACAAAACAAAATTTGAACAAATTCTGTAGGTTTGAGAAAAACAGAAACAGCAGTGCAGTGCAATGGGACCTAGAGAATACTACTCCTATCATCCATCGGTTAGACTGTTTTTCCTCACACAGGAATACTCCAGATAAATGAATAACAGTCCTCATAATATCCATTGATGTATGATGTCATAAGACCTTACTCTGAATAATTAATAGGCTGTAATATTACTGGCTTAATGAAGGGTGGCCTGTATCCAGCAGCTCACACTATACCTCTTCAGTTCTCTTAAAGGTCTGCCTCAACCCCCTTCGCTTTGGCAGATCCATCATCTCTCCACTCTGAAAATAACATCAGCCTGTGACGCTCTGGCCGTGATCTCTTCGTCCACTGGAAGGTCTCACACTGGGTACAAAATGTATTTTTGATGAGCCGCAGAAAAGGGATGAAAGGTGACAAACGCTATTTTAAAACCAGACGAGGACACGCAGCAACAGGCCTAAACAGGACTTGAGTGATGAGACAATGAATTCTGCAGGCACCACAGACTGCTGTCATAAAAGTGCTGCTGTGTAATAGGGGAACAGGCACATAGTAAATGAGTCAAAGGCACTAACATGGCTGCATATCAACTCTCGAGCCACAAAACAGCTCCACTGGTGGCCATTGTTTTGTGTAATTTCCAAACAAGAAACTCGAACAGCTCGCTGCTGATGAGCTGTTTGGGGGACAATTTGATCCACAGACAGAAGGAATCGTGGTTAATGATGCCATTGGCAAGATGATTATATAGCAATGTGTAATATAAAATTAATTACTGTTCTGCCAATTGCATGTTTTGAAAATGTCGTCCTTGCTTTTCCATATGGAGAGTTTGGGAATTAATCTTCAGAGACTGTGAGTGACACAGATAAATAAAAGTGTAGTTTATTATCATTATACACTTTTAGTTTCACTGGTACTGTGTAATGCTGATGATGATGAACATACAAAGATACTATATTCTTCTCTTTATGTTATTCCCTTTCTTTCAACAACTGGCTGCCTTTGTAACCAGATAAAGGAAGAAGAAAAGCATTGACCTGCCAGAAAAAGAGAAAAATGGACTCTTGATATTCAAGCCATTACAGCTCATGTCCCAGTGAGCCTGTTATAATGATCATGCCAAGAAAAGTAGAGATTTAGTCAAAGACAACCCATCTCATCACCTCTATGTGGTCATGTACAGCCTCAATCACAGTAATCCTCTCACACTGTGCTGAGTGCATCGCACTTCACCAGTACGATTCAGCAGTGGCACTCCAGCTAAGAAAAGGCTCAGACCAGGCAATGTCTCAGTGGAGCTTGTAGGCATGTGTGGAGTTTATTTTGCAGTTTTAACACACTGGTGCTGTTGCTGCTCGTTACCACACAGGCACAGTAAATAAAGTTTGGTCTATCTTTCAAAACGGAGAAGGACTTGACAATTATCTGTGTCCAAATTGCATTCAGAGCTCTAGCTGTATGTGTTTATGAATCTTATATATAGGCTGATATGTTTAGTTATTTCAAGACTTATTGGGGCAAGAAGATGTGTTTTTTCAACAGAAAGTCTTCATTTCAAACTGGAGATGATGGACTTTTAGCAGGCAGGGTGGGTGTGAATTGCATTATGGGATAACATTATGGGATTGTTGCTCTGGGGTTTTTGGAGCTTTATCCATACAAGGGACTAAAAGTTAAGATACTTTTTGCTTTTTAAAACAGATATTGATATCATATGGCAAATGTATGCCAAATCATAAACAGTCAAACTGATGTTCATAGAAATGAACTGTGTTCCACTACAAACAAAACCTAATAACTCAAGTTTGTTAGTTTTCAATTACAGCTTGCCTGGAAATGTGTAAGACAAGGTGTATTGTATACACCATTCACACATAGAGGCAATTGAAAGTGCTTTACATGAGGCAAAGAAATGCATTAGACCATTAAAAACCAATTAAAATAAAATAAAAAGAGATACACAAAATACAGTTAGAGTGCGGTAATGAGA